AGGAGCCAGCAAAAGAGGCACTGTTATTTTTATATACCAAAAGAGGAGACTAGCTCTTCAATTTTTATATGCCAAAATTGTTATTTTCTTAGCAAAACATATTGTTTATTTAATATTATAGTTAGGTTTTTATTCAATTTCACTATTGTGATGAAGGGCAGACCTTGATAACAGCCTCCTAGCTTTGTTTCTTCAAACATATCTCCACCCCCTCAGTGAGTAGATCATCATTCTCTACCCATGATCTCCCTGCATTGCTGTACTCTTGATAAAGTTTCATTGTATCTTTCTGTGTATAGAATGAAATCATCCATCTCTTCTCCAAGGCCATATTCAGGAATTTGCTTTTGGTTCCCACTTAGAGCACATAATCTCGTAGAATCTATATGTAGAATTTGTTGATTATATGTCTAGATATAGAATTTAGAGGTCATTTAATTTGGTTAATTTAGTTTCATAGTAAATGTTGTAGGACATGTAAGCCTAATTTCTTTCCATATCATCAAACTGAGTTTCCTTCAAATCTCTTGCGTTTGTGTCTCACTACTATAGCTTTATTCTCACAGTTAAGAATGGGGTAGTTTTGTGTTGATTGCTAAATTAGTTTCTCTTTACTACCAAGGGTGGAATTTTAACTGACATACTGTAATTCTATTTCCAGAGATTTGCAAACATAATTCTGCTCCTGCATGCCCATATAAAAAATATATTATGTATTCAATATTCTAGTTAGTGAGGGGGGATTTTTTCCCTAATTTCAGTAATGTGATCAATGGCAGGCCTTGACAACATCTTCCTGCTAGCTGTGTTTCCTCAAACACATACTGAGCACACCTTAGCCAAGGAATCATCCCTCTGTGTACACATCCTCCCTACATTGCTTCCTTCCTTCCACTCTTGCCTTTCCTCATGTGGGTTCTTGGTTTAGATGGACAATACAATCACTTTTTAGCATTTTAATTTTTATATTTCTGACCAGTCCAATTTCCACAAGACCCCCTTACTACCCACACTGCTGTCACTGTGTAAGTAAAGACAGTTGTTCACCATTGGAAAACTTTTGCAGGACACTGCCTAAGTCATCATTGTCACTGGTGCCTAAATGATTGTGTGCCCTGGGTGATGACTCACATACCATTATCTATGCAGGATGACTGAGTAACTCTATTAACAACACAGCATATGTATCCCTTGAAATATTCTTTCCTGTGCTCCTCTGTCCTATGACCTGTTCTTTTTGGTACTGGTTGGATCAGCAGATGTTCCTAAGAACATGTTTGAGCCTGCAGTCCCAGGATCAAGTTCTGGTTTTCTCACTTAATGTGCAAAATGGGGTTACATACATAAACACTGTGGACCTAGTGTTTTTATTTGAAAAATAATTTATCTCAAGACTCTTCTAACAAGCTAGTGATGGTCGATGGCTCAGAATGTTGCATGGTGTTTGTAAAGACTGCAAAATTGTGACTAGTACTTCAGCAGGTGAATTTGGTCAACACAGATATTCAGATCATAGTTACTTGTCTTACGTTGTATAGGATGTTATTTTTTGATTTTTTCCAAACAGTGTTTTCTCTGACCCTCGTTAATACATTTTCCAAGTACAAGTACCATAATTCTCTTCAATTATTAGACAGGCATATATTTTCAGCCAATTGCCATGTGCTTTGGCTTAATGGTGGAAAATTTCTTCTTCTTATAAGGTTAACATAAGTTTGTACAATGTGCTATGGTTATAGATTGCTTCATACTAAGCTTCCCTGCCATTTTTTTGAATTATGTGTAACCATCTTTTTGATATTTTTAAAGAACCCATTTTCCTAAAAATTAAAAATCATAATTGGAAATTTAATAACTGTTTATTATACGTATGTTACTCTTGGTATAATGTTACGTATTTCAATAGGAGGTATTTAATGACCATCTGAAATTCATCATAAACCTGTGGTTCTTTATATCTTGTAGGTATCTCTTCTATATGTATGATAAATGAATTGCCATTTCCTAAACTGAACAGTTATACAGGAGAAATACCCCAAACAGTAATGTTGGAAAAGCATGAAAGCCATGACATAGAAGACTTCTGGTTTAGGGAAATCCAGAAAAATATACAAAACTTTGAGTATCAGTGGCGAGTTGCTGAAAGACATTACCAAAGAGTCCATAAGACACATGAGGAAAATCTCACTGGTACAAGAGATCAGCATGATATAAGGGATTCAGGATATAAGTTTATTAAAAATGAGCTTGGATTAAACTTTCAGTCGCATCCAGCAGAACTACAGCTATTTAAGGCTGAAGAGAAAATTTATGAATGGAATCACATGGAGAACTATATCAGCAATTATTCCTTGGTTTCCCCACCCCACAGAATTCCTTCTACTATCAAACCCCACGTTTCTCATGAAGATGAGTATGATTTTATGGATTCACTATTTACACAAAAACAGAAAGCACATGTAGAGACAGAACATTACAAATGTAATGAGTGTGGCGAAGCCTTTAATCAAGGCTTACATTTCACTGTACATCAAATAATCCACGCAGAAGAGAAACGATTTGAATGTGCCGTATGTGCCAAGGTCTTCAATAAAAAATCATGCCTTGCAAGTCATCGGAGAATACATGCTGGAGAAAAACCTTACAAGTGTAATGAATGTGGCAAGGTCTTTAATACTATTTCACATCTTGTACAACATCGGAGAATACACACTGGAGAGAAACCTTACAAATGTAATGAATGTGGCAAGGTCTTCAGTCAAATTGCACACCTTGTACAACATCGGAGAATTCACACTGGAGAGAAACCTTACAAATGTAATGAATGTGGTTCACACCTTGCGGAACATCGGAGGATTCACAGTGGAGAGAAACCTTACAAATGAATGTGGCAAGGTCTTCAGTCAAATTGCACACCTTGTACAACATCGGAGAATTCACACTGGAGAGAAACCTTACAAATGTAATGAATGTGGAAAAGTCTTCCCTCAAATTTCACACCTTGCGGAACATCGGAGGATTCACAGTGGAGAGAAACCTTACAAATGTAATGAATGTGGCAAGGTGTTCAGTCGTAATTCATACCTCGTACAACATCTGATAATCCATACAGGAGAGAAACCTTACAAATGTAAGGAATGTGGAAAGGGATTCCATCAAATTTCACACCTTGCACAACATAGGAGAATTCATACTGGAGAGAAACCTTACAAATGTAATGAATGTGGGAAGGTGTTCAGTCATAAGTCATCCCTAGCAAATCATTGGAGAATTCACACTGGAGAGAAACCTCACAAATGTAGTGAATGCGGCAAGGTCTTTAATCATATTTCACACCTTGCACGACATCGGAGAATTCATACTGGAGAGAAACCTTACAAATGTAATGAATGTGGCAAGTTCTTCTGTGACAAGTCAAACTTAGCAAGTCATTGGAGAATTCATACTGGAGAGAAACCTTACACATGTAACGAATGTGGTAAAGTATTCAGTCGCAATTCACACCTTGTAAATCATCACAGAATTCATACTGAAGAGAAAGTTTATAAATGTAATTAATGTGGCAAAGAGTTCAGTCAAACTTAACACCTGGCAAAATATCGGAGAATTCATGCTAGAGAGAAACCCTATGAATGTAATGAATATGGAAAGGTGTTTCATTACATTTCACATCTTGCATAACATCAGAGAATACATACTGGAGAGAAACCTTATAAGTGTAGGCCAGGCATGGTGGCTCACACCTGTAATCCTATCACTCTTGGAGGCTCAGGTGAGAGTCTTGCTTGAGTTCAGGAGTTCGAGACCAGCCTGAGGAAAGTACTAAAAAGTAGAAACAGTTAGAGGGGCATCGTGGTGTATGCTTGTTTTCCCAGCTACTCTGGAGGCTGAGGCAGGAGGATTGCTTGAGCCCAGGAGTTTGAGGTTGCAGTGAGGTCGGATGATGCCATTGCACAGTACCCAGGGCCACAGAGTGAGACTGTCACACACAGAAAAAAAAAAAACTTGCAAATGTAATGAATGTAGCAAGGTCTTCATTAAATTTCACACCTCCCACAACATCGGACAATTTATACTGGAAGAAACCTTACAAATGTAATGAATGTGGCAAGGTGTTCAGTCACAGTTCATACCGTGTACAACATCTGATAATCCATACAGGAGAGAAACGTTACAAATGTAATGAATATGACAAAGACTTTAGTCAAAATCTGTATCTTGTATGTCATTGGAGAATTCGAACTGGACAGAAACTGCATAAATGTAATTTATGTGGAGTGGTCTTCTGTCCAAACTCTTCCTTACTACATTGTCGAAGTGTTTATACTGGAGAGGATCCTTACAAATGTAATGTGTGGCCACATCTTTTAGTGTGCATTCAAGTCTTACTAAGAATCATGTAATCCATACTGGAGAAAACTTTCAAATGTAATGAAATTAATACGGCAAGGTTTCAGTGGCAATTCATACCTTGCACATCATCAGAGATTTCATGCTGGAGAGAAATCTTATTAATGTGGTAATGTCATCCATGTAATTAACAAGGGAAGGTATTTTCTCAGCATTAAAGTTTTGGAAGACATTGGATACTTCATACTAGAAAGAAACGTTGCAAGTGTAATGAATGCAGCAAAGCCATTAGTCATCATTTAAGGCTTAACTAACCATCAGTTGATCGATAGCAGAGAGCAACCTTACAAATGTATTGAATGTGGCAAGCCTTAGGGTATAATTCGGACATCAGGAGTTTCCAAACAATTCTTGCTGGAGACAAACCTAACATGAGTGCAGCAAATCTTTTAGTGTACATTCAGTCCTCACAACACAGCAGATAACCCATATGGGAAAGAAACCATTCATACGTAACGAATGTGGTAAGGTCTTCTGCCACAATTCACACCTTACACATCATCAGAGAATTTGTACTTGAGAGAAACGTTACAAATATGATGAGGATTTCAAACCTTTATTATAAGTTCAAGCATGAATCAGCATAGGCAATTCCTACTAAAGAGCATTCGTGTAATGGTATGTGACAGAGACGTTTTCCTGGCCTCAAACTTACTAGGCATTGAGAAAATATATCTTTGTTGAAACCATACAAACATAAGGTGCATGTTTAGGCTTTTATTCAAACATCAGAACTGTCAGACCATCAGCATGTTCATACTGGAGAACAACTACACAAACAAAGTGAATGTATTGAGCCTTTTAGCAAACCGTCATGAGTTTTTTGTCACGAGAGTTTCATACTGGATAAAAAACAAGGCAAATGTAGTGAACCTAGAAAGTTCACTAATCTAAGGTGTGTCCTCAGGATTCATTAAAGAATTGATACTCAAAAGAATGCTTGTAAGTGTAATGATATGTTAAATTACTTAACCAATTCTCACAATACTCTCCACATTAGAGAGTTCATACAAAGAATAAAGACGTCTAATTCTTCATGATTAACCTTTGGTATGTACTGCAGAAAAACTACAAATCATACTATGTTAAAAGTCATGTCGTAGGCCGGGCGCGGTGGCTCATGCCTGTAATCCTAGCACTCTGGGAGGCCGAAGCAGGAGGATTGGTTGAGCTGAGGAGTTCGAGACCAGCCTGAGCAAGAGCGAGACCCCATCTCTACTATAAATAGAAAGAAATTAGCCAAACAACTAAAAATCGAAAAAATTAGCTGGGCGTGGTTGCACATACCTGTAGTCCCAGCTAC